TGCATGTTCACCACTACTATATTATAAAAAATCAACTTAGGGATTAGACTTATCACAAGTCTTATTCCATTATAATATACATATAATATGTACTCACCTTAGCTTTGCTTTGATTCGATTCTAATCCTTTGATCGTTCCGAAATAAGCTTACTTTTAGTATCTACATAATCACACATGGATTTATATCAGTATTATAACTAATATACTCTAATGGTTCACTCTTTAGACTAAGAGAAAAGTCAATTTCATCTTTTAATGAAGGTATGCATCGATGCACTACTGATGCATCGGTGCATAAAAGGTATTCGATGTATTATTATTGTTGGGATGCATCGATGCACTACTTATGCATCGATGCACCAATTGCATTCGATGTTTCATTATTAATGGGATGCATCGATGCACTACTTATGCATCGATGCATGAATTGCATTCGATGTTTTTATTTTAAAAGAGTGCATCGATGCACTACCAATGCATCGATACACCTTCAAACAATTTCTGGGTTTTAACCTTGATGCATCGATGCACTATGAATGTGCATCGATGCACTCTGCCCAGAATCCTCTTTTTGAACCCGAAAATTCATTCATTTTGAATTAAATCCTTCATGTTTAATCCTCTTTTTCATTCTTAACTATAGTACACATCCTTAAACCAATTTATACTCATTTATTTCATCTTAAACCTTCAAATCCTATCCTTCATATGTAATTCAAGAATTACATTAATAAATCAACATGTTTGAATTCCGCTTTTAACACTTCGTATATCTTAACTAGATTGATAACAAGTCAAATATAAATTTCAATTCTAGTTATGAACTTTATTCCAAGATTTCATTCAAGAACCTCTAATCTTTAATCTTCTCTATTCCTTTATATTTTGATCTTAAGATAACTTAAGCTTTCCTTAAGCTTAGTTATCATCTAATGATCAAAACCCAATCTTAAACTTAACAAATAATTAACTAAGTAGAAGACTCACCTTTGAGCTTGGAGATCGGGAGGAGAGGAAGAAGAAGTTCTGGAGAAATATCTCCCTACATGCTTATCTCTTAATAAAGAGATAAGATAATTATCTTTTAGATAAAAAGACCATTTTGCCCTTTAATTCCTTTAATAATTACTAACAACTTTTAGGATTTATTTCCAGATAAATCATTGAACTAATCCATTCTTATACTTTAATCACCAAATTCTAAAACTTTACAATTAAGTCACTAACCCATAGTTTGGGATGTTACACAGACATATTTTTCTGACGTAGAGCGGTTGACTCTAGACTGAACAAAATTACGGATATTGTAATTTTTTATAGCCGTTATCGCTTCTTCTTTGCTTGAAAACTCCATGCCTAAATATAACTCACCATTAATTATTAATGAGTTAAATCCATACTCACTGAGATTATGCATATCCGTAAATTCTGGCTCATACATTGCACCATAGTTAGCTTCATACATGTGTGCTGGAGGTTCAGTTTGTACCACATTTTTGGGAACTTCATCTACATCATCATCATCATAGGAGTTGAATTGCGGTGTTTTTGGGTGAACGAATAGCCCAGTCTCAACACCATCCACACTTGGCTCACGAAGCAGTTCTTTTGGTGGAAATGAAGGTTCCTCCATGCTCTCTACATTTAGGTCGAAGAACCTACTACTTGCATGCCTTCCCCTTGAACTATAAAGCATATAGACATTAAAATCGAAAAAGCTCGTAGTATAATGCTTCCCCCTGGAGCTTGAAATCATCGTGTCAAATGGAAACAACACAGATTATTGCGTCGAGGGCATCTCCATATTTAGGTCAAAGAAATTGGCAGATGAATGACTTTCCCTTGAACTGGAAGCAATGTTTCTATATAGATTGTTTGTGGACCGACCTTGGTACAGATTGTAAGGAGTTGCTGATGAATGTCTCCCCATTGAAGTTGATGGAATGGCACCATGATGCGGATTTCTCATTATGACATTAAAATCATTACACATTATTGTATTTGGGTTGTCAACTTGATCAACTTGTTCAACCAGCCCATAGTGGGAGCTTAATGACAAACCTCGAACAACATACCTTTCAATAAACTTTGCATACATCTCCATATCGACGTCTGAATAATGATTTTGAGAATCAACCATCATTTCAACATCACTTGGAGATTGAGATCATGTATAAGAATCTTATTATCCCGAGATTAATAATCATACCAAGCTTAGTTCCAACAAGTACTATAGGAACACCAGGAGCGTAATGCTTTAATTCAGGAATCCACTGAAATGGAAAGAAAGAAACACACATGAATTGCAAGGACATGCATTGGAGATATAGTGCACTGAATATTTATCATCTCAAAAGAGAAGCCATTTGATGGTTTGACCTTCTTGGCCACGTTTTCATAACTGACCTTGCTGATGAGAGAAAATGCAAGAATAAAGACATCCGCCCCACGATAACTCAGCGGTCTTAATATATTGTAATCCTCCTGACATGTTTTCAAGGCAACGATTTCAAACCCAAAAGCAAGAAAGAAAACAAAATAATAGAAGAGGAATTTCCAAATTACCGGTAGTATCCCATAAACCTATGTTGACCGTGTTGCCATCCACAACAACATTTGCACTGAAATTGTCGAAAACATTTGGTACATAGTCCTGTTACCATAACAATGTAACCAATAAAGAAAATCAGTACCAGCCAGGTGCAAAAAGCACCAAACTTGATTTAAATTATAAAGGAATGAAGCTTCCATTAATTTGAAAGAGATCTGGTTGCACTTGATCTGCCTACATTGTATGACATTAACAACAATCTTGACAGCATTTATAAGAGACAATAAAATTTCCCTAGGAAATTCGAAGTTGCAGAAATACAGAACAAAGCTCATTCAAACGTTAACAAATTTTAAACAATTCTTCTTCATTTATTCCAAAATAACACACACACACACATACGGGGACGTTCCTATATAAGTTTAAATATTAGATAGATCAAGTTTAAATACGGGGTTTCATCATGGTTCCTTCCTTGTATATGTACAAATTCAGCCTGTCCTATGATTTTCATTAGCTATTTTTTAACCAACGGAAGACTAAAAATGCTAATAAATCATGCGATCAAGCAACAATATCCGAAAATGCAAGAAAGAGGCTCACCGTAGGAAAAGTATTGCTGGTGTAAGAAATCAACAGGCATGTCTTTCCGACGGCGCCATCGTCGACGGTGACACATTTTATGAATCTGGAGGCGCTCATACTCCCTCGCCTCCGTAGGAAAAAGTCGCCAAAAGCCTGTGTTTTACTCCTTTCTCGGGTATTACTATTCTACAATATTCGAAATTCGTTTTTTTGTTCCTCTCAGATTTGGTTGAGGCTGTTGTTAAGCAAATAAGAATGAGGATCCATAGAGTTCATCATTTGTCTACACGAGGTAAACCCTAAGGAAACACAGAGGTTGGAGAGAAAAACACCAAAAAAAAAGAGAAAATGAGAGAAAGAAAAGGGAGGAAATGTGGCCAAATGATGGAAAGAAGAGGGAGAAATTTCAGAATCAATTACAAATCACAATTGCGGTTTGAGCGTAAGCCTCTATTAACAACTCACTTTTCATCATTTACAACTTACTAATTATATCATCCTTCCCCCCTTTTTTATCATTTCTCTTATCTTCTCTTCATTTTCAAAAATAAAAATTACAACAATTTTCATTTGCCACAAAAACAATACATTTTTCTGGCTAATCTTTAAGTTTTGGAAATACTTAGAGAGTTCTAAGCAGTAAGCAAATTTATGTGTCATGAATATCATATATGATTGTTAAAGTTTATTCTATTCAAAATATAACTTTTAAATTTTCATATATATATATATATATATAGTTAATTCAAATTTTGAACTCATTTAAGTCTATTTATTATATTATATATATATATTTTTTGTCTTACGGAAAAATTAAGTATCCAAGTAATATTTTTTGCGAACTTGTAATATATAAAATAACTCTTGTTTCAAATCAATGTTTAATATATTTTACGTTATTCTTTTAAGTATGTCTTTAGAAAAACTGTTATTTAACACATGTAGTGTTTATATTTTTTTGAAATTTTTATTTAAAAAACTTAAAATATAATTATATAAAAAGCAAATTTTTAAAATTAAGAAACCCTAAAATCTCTAATTTTATCTCTCACCGTCCCGGAGCTAACTCAACAAATGTGGGATTTGAATAATATGATGTGTGGAGTGCAGCTGACCCTTGCCATGGCCGCTACATAACAGCCTCGGTTATGTTCCGTGGCAAGATGAGCACCAAAGAAGATGATGAACAAATGATGAATGTTCAAAACAAGAATTCATCATACTTCGTGGAGTGGATTCCCAACAACGTGAAACCCGCTGTGTGTGATATTCAACCACAGGGTCTGAAGATGTCATCAACTTCAGTTGGGAACTCAACATCAATCCAGAAAATGTTTAGAAGGGGAAGCGAGCAATTCACGGCGATGTTCCGTTGCAAGGCCTTTTTGCATTGGTATACCGGTGAGGGAATGGATGAGATGGAGTTCACTGAGGCAGAAAGCAACATGAATGACTTGGCGGCAGAGTATCAGCAATACCAGGATGCAACTATCGTAGATGAGGGTGAGTACAAGGAGGAAGGCCTTGAGGAGAGCTAAAAGTCCTAAAATCCCTTTCGCAGACATTCACTAATTGCAGAAGGAATTCATAGAAAACAGCTGTCCTAAAAGAGAGGTACCAAAACATTCTTAATTATGAACATTGGTTTCCAGATTGATATGAGAATTACAAAGTATTTCATTATATTTAGACTTGTACAAATGATCATCGGTTAAAAATTCAAACACTTGCTCCAGGGAATGGAATTAATACACATCGGTTAAACTGACATCTTAATAAACAAAAAGGTACGTAGAAGAGCAACCTCCAAGCCAAGAAATATGGCGCAGGTCATCCTCCCTTGGGAGACGAGGTTTTCAATCTGGGAACTTTGAATGTAGAAGTGAACAATATCGGAGTTTCAGCAAGAGGTATAGCATCATCCTTTTTTTCTCTTCGTGCTTCTGCTTCCCTAAACGACCATAAGAAATTCAACATTTGGTTAGACAAAGGATCTTTCATATAAGCACACAGACAACAGTATTCAAACATGCTATTAACATCATAACAGAATAAGTTCAGATTTCAGAATGAAAATTAACATATTGGCGGGAATAGATGAAATCATGAACATTAACTTTCTTATTGGTGGTTACTCAAGCTAGATCGATGAACAAAAGTACCTTTCATTGTTCTTCTGAAGATCATATACATGAGGGGCAGAGTTTTCTTTCCGCGCAATAATGTTGCATCTATCCCTGCTTCCATTCTTACCTCCGAGAACGGAAGTTTTTCGGCCTGCTGTGCAACGTTTTAGTAGAGGTGTACTCGAAGCTGTTGCGGACTTCCTTGACAAGTCTATATCCTGAGAAATTTTAGAAGCCTCTTGGAATCTACTTGCGTCAGCATCCTTCTGAGACAACTCAGCTTTTAATCTCTCAATTATTCCATCCTTTTCAGCATTAGATGATCTCAGCTCCTCCATATCAGAAATTAGTGCCTCGATTCTCTGGTTAACCTTTTCAAGTTCAGACTGCTTGATGTTTAATTTATCCGTGTACTGGCTTTCCAGAACATTAAACTGATTCCACGCAAACTTATTCTCTGCCATAAGTGCAGTGGCTTGAGAACTCTTTTCTGAAACAAGATTTTCTTATTGAAGCTTTAACCTTCTAACATTGTCTTCCAACGTCTCCAAAGTAACAGACTTTGAACCATTGCCTCCCGACATTCCTTTTTGGGTTTCTATGGTTTCCCTTTGAGAAATATCCTGAAATAATGAGTTTATAAAAAACTCAGAAGTTTGTACAATGTATGAAATTATGAAAAAGCGAAAAGTCATGGGAACATATTTTTGAACTTTTACTGAGGATGTTAAACCAGACTCTGAAATCAGTCAATTCATCCTCTGTTTCCTCTGTAATAAGGCCAATGGAGAAAATCTAAACATCAGACCACATCAAAGTTACCAAAAAAAGGAAAACAATTTGTAATCAGCTCACTCATCAAAGCATGAATTCAACCCAACATAAAATTTCACAGCCACCACTCATCACAGTAATCACTTAATCACAAGTTTGTTTCTTCCATAGTGAATTAACACTCCCCCTCCCAATATATATATATATATTAATAGGAAACAGCACATACCTAATTTCATTTCGCAAAGAAGCGCTTCTCTGTGCTTCAATCCTACCATCATATCGACTTTTGTAGCCCCAAGCACAAGAGTCATCTCTTCCGATTGCAACTCACTTTTCATCTAAACATCCAGAAATATAACCAAAACCCCTCACATTACACCTCAAATTAGGTGAAACAAGATAATAACAATATTAGTGACAAAAAAAAACCCTAATTTTCCCAAAAAAAAAAACGTCAAAACCCTAAATTGAGAAGTTTTACCTGAGAAATGTGATCTTCATAGAGGCGAACATCAGAGACACACTGTTCATATTGCATCTTGATCCGATCTTCGAGAATTTTTCGTTCTTTAGCCAACGTTTCAAGATGTTATTGCTGGGTTTTAATCATCTTAACTAAACCCTCAAAGATTAAATCCCACTTCAGACGCTCTGATGAGGGTTGAGACCGTGCTTTCGCTCCCATTTGCGGCCTTCTTGATAGCTGAACTACAAGGACAAGAGGAAGAGGAGGAAGAGGGAACGATTGAGAGATTTTTTTGTTGGGTTCTGAAACTTAGAGATTTTTGAATCGTTGCAATTTGAAAAGGGAGTTCAACGGTCGACTTCGGCGCGTTATAAAGGGAAATTATGGAGGTGATACTAACGTACACGTACAAATACCGTTTGCCTTTTTGGGCTGTCACTTGGGTTCTTTAACTGAAGCCTTGGGCTTCTATGGGCATAAAACTAATTTAATAAAAAAAAAGGAAAAGGAAATTACCTCATAATTGAAATTAAAATTTACTTAAAACATAGTTTCAACCGATTAAAAATATTTTTATTAACGTCATAATTATTTATTTATTATTATTATTAAATTAATAAATAATGATTTGAATGCCGATCTGAGTTTTATAACATTGTATATAACAACATTTATGCTTTAAGTTAAGTTAATTTTAAATTGATTTGATTCGAATTTAAAAAATATTTAATCTCATAAAATTAAATTAAAATTTATTAAAATAGAATAAAATTGACCCCCCTACTAAAATATATACCAACCAAACTAAATTCATTCGATAAAAAATATAAGATTATTATTTTCTATATTAATAAGAGATGCTTCTCTAAAATTACAAGTTTCCAAAATTACAAGTGCATTTATAATTACAATTGTTTGCTTTTTATAAAATTATAAGTGATAATTATTTTCTATATTAATAAGAGATTATTATTTTACAATTGTCGCAATATTTAATTATTATAAAATATAATCGGATTTACATATGACAAGACTTAAAATAAAATAAAATCTATATCAATAATGGCCTAATAATCTACAACGTGGGAGCGATCCAAGAACCAGAAATGAGTCTCACAGGATAATGGTGAATTATTGATGAGGCCGAGGGGCAGCGGATGAACTCGTCAATGGAAGCAAGCGATTCAGGCCATTCACATCTAATCCAGAACCCAATCCTTGGCGGCGAAATTAGTCGATAGCTCCCATCGTTCCAGGGTTCGAAGGTCTGGATCCAGAGTCAGATAATAATGTTTTGGTAATGCAGCCAAGGGGGGAAAAGACTAAAAAAGAAGAGAAATTGGGGAGACGAGGTTTTCTCGCCAACAACGTGGGATTTGGCCCCCCCTCTTAGTTAATATGAACGAAATGAAAAGATAGGGATGTTGCTGCGTCTTGAAATCCTAATTGCCATGGTTCCGCTGCATCACAAGTACTTAGCCATTGTGAGGAATAACCATTCTAGAACAATCATTTGGTTTCTTTCATTCTTTTTTTATGCTTCATATATTAACCTATTATTAGAATCTCAAAAAATATCATATCTCAATCAATAGGGTTGACATTCAACTTAGACTGCTGTCAATTTTTTAACGAAAAATGATGAGTTTAGAACATAATAAATAGTTGGATGACCATTTTGTAATTTTTAATAGTTGGAGACTGAACAAAGCGATACTCGGTGGACCATTTTATAACTTTTAATAGTCGATGGATTCAATGAGACTATTTGTTTACTTTCCCCTTAAATTAATAAAGAAAATATATATGAATGAATTTATGCAATAATTTTAAGATATAAAACTTGAAGTGGAGGGAGACATAGATTCCAAGTGTATTAAATAATATTGTTTCCTTTGTAAAATTAGGCATTGAGAGTAAAGCAATGTAGAGGGCCCTGAAACTGAAACAGTAGAGCAGGTCCGTTGGGAATAGTTAAAGAGTCCCTCTCTGCCGCCAAATACAACAGGCGAAGCCCGTATATTATATTAACACATTCCAGTGAAGTGGACGCCAAGCAACCAAGTTCCCTTCCCACCATTTATATTTCTTTTCCTCTCTCAAATATCTTCGTTCTTCTCCCAAAAATTACTTCATCATCATGGAGTGTGAAGGCCAACTTGTGATGATCAATAGGACAGAAATCGACACCAGGGCACCCTTCAACTCTGTTAAAGAAGCCGTTGCCTTGTTCGGTGATACTGTTTTAGCTGGCCAAATTTATGCCCCCAAGCTCAACCAACAGGTACTCTCGTACGATAATCATTTAGTCATTATGATGAACCTGAATATACTGTGTTGCTTTTCCCAATTGTTAGTTTTTACTGTGTTCATTTGCGACAGGTGCATGGTGAAGCTATTGAAAAGGGTTCTTCCAGGCTTGTAACTGTTACAGCTGAACTGGAAGAGACGAAATATAACCTTGAAAAGGCTAGAGAAGAGGGTATGGTAATGGCGAATTGTCTGTGCTCTCTCAAAGAAGAGCTTGAAAGAACGAAGAGAGAACTGGAGCAATGAAAGAAGGAGAAATCAAGAAACTAATGACGGAGTTCGAGATGGAAGATGTCAAGATCGTCCCAGGCTCGGCTAGATATGAATTCAATGAAACAAAAACCATTGATGAAGGAACTACTGAGTTTCAAAAGAAGAGATACGTGACATTTGCAAATCAACCTTCTTTAACTCGAGTTATCGGTCCACAAGGTGTGGAAAAACTCGATAGACACCCTTCACTGAGAAAGAAGAAGAAGAAGCCATTGATCTCTTTGATTGGAGGGTTATTTTCGAAGAAAAAGGGAAGCCATTAATTTCGTAGATCCAACTTATAATACTTTTCTGAGGTTTTACTTGTTCTTCTTGCCAGGTTTCATGTTTCTTTTGTAACACACTGGAGGGTGTGATGCTTTTTATGAGTTATCTAATAAACTTCACATAAATCACTTTTCTTGGCAAATTTGGACTGATTATACCTCTTTTGTTAGTTTCATTCAGCTTAAACAAACAGAGAAATAAAAAACTATTTTTCACGTGAAGATATTCTCACTGTACAAACAGAGAACAAACATGAATCTCAAGTTTTCCAATGTCTCTTTCTATGGTATAGATTCGTAACCCAAGAAGGAAGAGACTGATCCAATTCTTTCAAAAAAGCTATTATGCATTAACCAAAAAAAAAAAGGACAAGAAACATCAGATTTTGGACTCAAACAAAAAAGCATCAGCATCCATGATGAACAACGGTGAATATTATTAAACCCAAACATCAGATTTTCGACCCTCCAAAATCCCCTCTTGTGATGACTTGTTGAAGAACTCAATGCAGTCAGCTATCGCCTCGGTGTAATGGGAATGGGAAGAGTAATACGAGCTGCATGAAACCTTAGGTGGATCAAACCTGTCACTGTTGTTTTGCTTGGAAGACGCAGTTGATGACTTGCCAGAAGAACCACCGGAAGGAAGGGAAGAAAACAAGAGACGCATAAGAAACTTGCGGAAACGATGAAAGAGCTTCATTGCAGATCGGGAAGGAAGTAGTGTGGGTTTGGTCTTTGTTGTAGAGTTTCACTATGAGGCAACATTGTAAATTTGTAGTCTCTCTCTCTCTCTCTATGGCTTTTGCTTTGCCACTTTCCAGATGCCCTGGGGGTATCATGTGTGCGATTCATTGTGATTTTTAAAAAAAAAAATCCGAGGTTTTGAAAGAGGAGTGTTTATTCTATTTTGGAAGTCTCGAAGTGTACCGGTAAACACCATGTGCCCAAATCATTTGTGTTGTGCTTCACATCAGTTGTCCTCGCTATGTTGTTTCTTTTAAATGTATGTACGTATGTTTATTGTTGTACTTTTCCGATTTCTTTTACAAATAACATTTTTACAGCAATTTTTATCGCCTCATTAGAGTATCGGTAGTAATCTCCTTTGTCATATATATATATATATATATATGCGTTGAAATAAATTCGATCAAATTGTTTCAATAATAATTCTCTTCTTTCACTGGTTTCGATTTAAATCGATTTATGACATTTACTCAATCAAAAGAGCAAATGGTATACCTCATTTGGACTTACTCTGCAAGCAACACATTTATTGTCAATCTTCCGCCAATCAAGGGCTCTGAAGGAACTCCACAACTGATTGAAGCCTTTGAAGTTCCTAGAAGCTTCCAAAATTTCATGTCCTCTGACTAGTTGCATTCTCTTGATATTACCAATTGCAGGTCCAGTATAATTTGTCAAAACTAAATATATTATCTAACAATTATATATATTTACTGCCAGCCTACGAATAGTCGTCATACCCTAGACTTAACGCCAACATTAACGGTCAATATATATATCACTATGCGTAGCTGAACAATGGATCATTTCCCCCTCACACGCACTTTTTCAGCTTCTCACTGCTATTCTTCAGCTCACTATTCTCCATTTCTTCCATAGAACTATCAGCTACAGTTGTCCGTCGGAATTACTTGTAACCATCACAATCTCACTTTTCCCGCGAACAGTTTATGTATACAAGTGTACATGTATAAAGTGTATATAAATAAAGTATAAGCAAATCCATGCATGGAAAAAGAAGCAAAGGATTGTGAAGGTGAATGATGAGCAGTGACCCTCATTGTCCATTAAGAAAAAGACACCTTAAAAGGGTCTTTATCCTAAGACCTGAACATTGGTGGGGTCACTGTGACTACCAACTTTTACTTTGATGATCTCAAAATCCGCCACTAAAAATTTAAAGATCATTCATTGATTAGGTAAGTTAGTCTAATCCATAACAAGTAACATTTTTAGGCATTTCTAAGGCAACGAATCTGTGGTCCTAACGAGCTAAATTCATAGTTGGACCAATCGAAAAAGCAAGTCAA